GCATGCATGCATCTAAATAGTGTGCGGCGCCGATCTATGTACATCAAGGTGTATGCGCATACACCTCAAGCTAGACACGTTTAAATGTCTTCCTGCTTGCATGCATGCATGATGCATGCATGCAAGCATGCATGCATGCATGCATCTAGCATCTAAATGACGCTAATCTACGGGGCCATGTACGCCAAGATAGACACGTTTAAATATCCTCCTGCATGCATGCATGCATGCATACATACATGCATGCATGCATACATGCATGCATGTGTGGTGACACCACACATGCATGCATACATGCATGCATGTGCGGTGTACGTACACCTGAAGCCACACACACGGAGGTGTCTCAAGCCCCATTTTTACTCTTATTACTAAAAAGAAATGAATAGCGGGGCTCCTCCGCATTGCTTCGGGCCCCTGAGGAGACAGCATCTACCGCGCTTTGCTGCTGCTGTCTCTGAGCCTTCTTAAGCTCAGCAATACTCTCCTGCATGAAAGTGAGTCTCCTGCGGGGTATATGGGGGGCCCCCCTGGGGGCCCCCCCTGAGGCCCCTGCTGCTTCGATGCTGGGGGCCTCACCAAGTGATTGGCGCTTAGAGGAGGCCCTGCTGCCTTTTATATATTTTTTCTTGCGAATGCAAATACCTAGGAGACCCTCTGCTGCTTCTTTTTTAAGTGTCTCCTCATCACTAAGCTCCTCGTACACCGTAGGCGAGGAGTCTCCTTCAGCATAATAAAAAACAGAGACAGGAAGGACCCTCTCTACCATCATTGCTGCTGTCTCCTCGTGTGTCTCCTCCTTATCTCTTCCTCTGTCTCCTCCTTTACTGTCTCCTTCTTTGTCTCCTTTGTCTTTGTGTGTCTCCTCTTCGGTTGTCTCCTCTTCTCCTAATGCAAAGGCTCCCCACTCCTCCTGACTCCATCCCCTTGTGAGTGCTTCCCAAGCAGGGCTACTAACAGCTTTAAATGCGTCTCCTCTCCCCCCAGAGGGGCCCTGTGGGGCCCCCTCAGAGGGGCCCTGAGGGGCCCCCACAGAGGCGGGGCCCTGAGGGGCCCCCGTCGTGGGGCCCCCTACTTCAACGGAGACACTTGGATTAGCAGGAGGAGGAGACACACTGTCTCCTCCTGCCTGCCTTCTTCGTCTCCTTGCGCGTCTCCCTAGCAGAACAGCAAGGGCCCCCAGGACAGTTAGAGGGGCCCCCTTTCCTTTCTTTGCTTTCATGCTGCTGGCAGCATCTTTTAAACCCCCTTGGGGGCCCCCAGAGCCTATAGGCGTCAATGTAGGGGGGTGTACACCACCGGTGCTGCTCTTCTTGTCTCCTTCTGAGGGCTCCACTGTAGCTGGGGGCCCTGCAGCAGCAGCTGGAGGGCCTTTGGGGGCCCCCCACTTTGCTGCAGAATGGGGGGGCCCCTTCTTCTGCTGTACAGGGGTCTCCTCCTGGGGCCCCCCAACTTGCGAAGTAGGTTTGCTTGGGGCCCCCTTAGAACCTGCGGAGACACCCGAAGGGGCTGCTGCTGTCTCTTTCGCTGCAGCAGAGGCAGGGGGGAGAGATACATCTCTCAATGTGACAGATGCAGCAGCTTGGGGGCCCTTAGGGGCCCCCTGATTAGAGGAGACAGAAGGCGCAGCAGGAGCCTTGGGGGGCCCCTGACCCACCATGACTACTTTACACGAAACAAGAGATTCACTAGGGGGCCCCTTGGGGGGCCCCTTCCCTAAGACAACCTTATAGCCTGCAGACAGCTTTTTAGCGATGAAGTCAGAGAGGGGAGGGGCCCCCTCGGGGGCCCCCCCCTTGATGGGGGCCCCTCCTTCTTTAAAAGTGCTGCTTGAAGATGCCTCAGCAGGCCTCCCTTGTGCCTCCCGTGAAGGAGACAGTGTCTCCTCTACTGAGGAGGAGGAGACAGTTGTGGGGCCTCTCAAATCAACAGGGGGAGAAGGGGGCCCCCCCTGACGTTGAGGGGGGCCCTTCTTCTGCAGAGGACGGTCAGGCGCAGCAGGGGGCCCCTGTTGCTGTTGCTGCTGCTGCAGGCTCTGCGCCTGCTGCTGCTGCTGCTGTCGAGGGGCCCCATCTTCTTTGGGGGCCCCTTTAATAGGGGGGCCCTGAGCAGCAGTCTTAGGAGGAGGTGGAGGCTTCGGTTTAGGGCCTTTCACAGCAGCAGCAGCAGCAGCAGGGGGCCCCCCCTTCCCCGGAAAGGTCTGGGCAGGGGCCTTTATGGGGGCCCCTCCCCCAACCCCTTTACTTTCCTCAGACTGAGCTGAAGAAGGCGACCTCTTCAGTGCCTCTTGTTTACTAGGGGCCCCCTTGGGTGTCTTCGGAGGGGGGCCCCCCTGCAGTTTAGACAACTTCGGGGGGGCCCCCTGGGAGGGGCCCTCCGTAGGGCCTCCCCCCCCTTTGCTGCTTGCATCGTCTCCCTTAACCCCCTCAGCAGCCCTATTGTCTCCTTTTGTCTCCTCCTTCACCTGCTTCTCACCCCCTACAGTGGGGGGCCCCCCTGTAGACTCCCCCTTCGACGGGGGCCCCTTAGGGGGCCCCGTAGGGGCCCCCTCTTTGGGGAGTTTCTTAGGGGGCCCCTTGGGGAGCTCCTTAGGGGGCCCCTTGGGGAGCTCCTTAGGGGGCCCCTTGGGGGGCCCCTTAGGGTCCGTTGCTTCCTCTGTATCGAGGGGCCCCTCGCGAGACAGCTGCTGGGTGACTCTGTCAGGAGACAATTTAGGAGGAGACGGTTTGGCTGGGGGCCCCTTGATTGTCATTTCCTTGGGGGCCCCCTTTGCTGCCTTGGGGGGCCCCTTGCGAGAAGCGTCAGAAGAGGAAGGCCGATCAGGTGGGGGCCCCTCCCCTCTGGGGGCCCCCTTAGGAGACACTTTCCTTCGGGGCCCCTTAGAGGAGACCCCCCCACTGGCTTTGTGCTTGTGCGTCTTCAGCAGCTGTCTCCCTAGGGCAGCATAGCTCTCCATCATCTGTCTCCTTCGTAAGGCGAGCGCTTCCCTGTGGGGGTCCTCGCTGCCGCTGCTGCTGCTGCTGCTGCTGCTGTCGCTGCTGTCGCTGCTGTCGCTGCTGCTGCTTCTGTCGTCGCTGCTTCTGCTTTTGTTGCTGTCGCTATTGCTGCTGCTGCTGCTGCTGCTGCCGTGGCTGCTGCTGCTACTGCTCATGCTGCTGTCGCTCCAAGTGCCGCTGCTGCAGCGCTGGCTTCTCCTACTTAGCTGCTTGCTGTTGGACCTGTTGCTGCTGCTGTTGCTGCGACTTGTTCTCCTGCTGCTGCTGCTGCTGCTGCCCCAACCGCTGCTGCTGCTGCTGTGCCGGCTGCGGAACCCATTTTTGCTGCTCCTGCTGCTCCTGCTGTTGCTGCTGTTGCTGCTGCTGCTGCGCCGCAGGCGGTGGAAGGCCTTCACCACTGGTGTCTGTCTCCTTGTGCTGCATCGCCTCCCCTTATCTATTGCAGCAGCAGCAGAGCTCTTGTGCTGCCGAGAGGTTTGCCTCACAATAGCAGGGGGGGCCCCTATCTGCTGCACCTGTGAGTACCTTCTGGGGGCCCCCCATGCGCATACAGCTGCGTCTTTACTGAAGGCAGCTTCGATTGAAGCTCCTATATCCTGTGGGGGGCCCCCAGGGCCCCCCAGAGGCTCTAAGAGGCTGCTTCTGCTGCTGCTGCTGCTGCTGCTGCTGCTGCTGCTGCTGCTGCTGCTGCTGCTGCTGCTGCTGCAGCTGCTGCTGCACCAGCGGCTGTAGCTGGTGCCTGTAGGAGACAATAGGGTGCTTGGCTCGCAGCGAGGAGGCCCTAAGGGGGCCCCCCAGTTCCCCGCAGCTGTCTCCACCAGCAGAGACTCAAGAGGAGACAGAGGAGGAGACAGAGGAGACAGCTGCAGCAGCACTTGGTGCAGGGTCTCTCCCTGAAACACGCACATACACGCAGTAGAAAGCAGGGTTTAGGGTTTAGGGTTTAGGGTTTAGCAACCGAGGGATTAGGGCTTAGGGTTTGGGGCAAGGGGAGCCTTACAGGCCTCCCTGGTGCAGCTGCATTGACTCCTTTTGCAGCAGCAGCAGCAGCAGCAGCAGCTGCTGCTGCTGCTGCTGAGGCTTGAGGCATGACGGGCGGTGAGGTGTCTCCTGCTTTCGCCTTTGGGTCCCTTCTATTGCTGCAGCAGCAAAACCCTAAACCCTAAACCCTCGCCTTTTCTCTCGTCTTCAATCCTCACAAGCTGAGCATACACCCCACATATACTACGAAGTGCAAGTAGTAGCAGCAGCAGGAGTAGCAGCTGCAGCAACATGAGCAGAAGCAGCAGCAGCAGCAGGACAAGCAGCGAGTAAACAACAGCAGCTCACGCAGCAATAAGGGCAGCAACGGCGCCAACAGCAGCAGCAGCAGCAGCAGCTGCTGCTGCTGCTGCTGCAGAGAAGATCTAAGCTACACCATATGAGAGACATACCGCAGCTGTTGCTGTTGTCCTGGCAGACTCTAAACCCTAAACCCTAAACACTAAACCCTAGCTCATGGTTCCGATCTCTAGAGCTCCTTTCTTTGTAAACCCTCAGCCCACTGTCTTACTAGCTAGCTAGCTAGCTACGCTAGGTAGCTAGCTAGCTAGGAGTCCAGGAAACTGCTGAACCCTAGGGTTTAGGGTTTAGGATTTAGAGTTTACCTTCTAAAAAACAAGCGGAGAGTGCATCTCGCCAGACTGAGAGATATCAAGACCGACGCAACTGCCGTGCTGCTGCTGCGGCTGCTGCGGCTGCTGCTGCTGCTGCTGTTGCTGCTGCTGCTTTTGCTGCTGCTGCTGCATTTGCTGCTGCTGCAAAGCTAAACTCAGCCTAACAGAGGCAGTTGCATGGTGTATAGAAGCAGCAAGAAAGAGCTCTCCTTATAAGCAGGAGGGCCCTAAAACCCTAAACCCTAAACCCTAAACCCTAAACCCTGGACCTTCCAAACATGCGGGTAGAAAGGAGTCGAAGGGTTTATTAGGCACTAACATGCTTGCTGTCAATCCTAGGGTTTAGGGTTTCTGGGGTGTATATCGAGGGCGTAGAACTCTAAACCCTTTGAAGGGTCGCGGCCTTGTGGTTTAGGGTTTAGGGTTTAGGGTTTAGGGTTTAGGGTCTAGTCCCAGCTGAGAATCTCTAGGGCCCCACAAACGCTCAAGAAGAAGAACACACAACTCACAAACACTCAACAAGAGAATTAGGGTTTAGTGTTTAGTGTTTAGGGTTTAGGGTTTGCACATCTCGAGTCAATCAACGCCAACCTCAAACCAGTGGTCACCCGCAACCAAACCCTAAACCCTAAACCCTAAACCCTAATTTTGAATACTAAATCTTTATGAAAAAACCCTTTTATTTTACTTCTTTATTTAATAAAGAAGGAGGAGCAGCTACATTACTGCTTCCGCTGGGGCCTCACACTGCCTCTGTGCATGCACTCCAAACCCTAAACCCTAAACCCTAA